CATCCCCCCCCCCCCCCCGGCCATTCAGCAAAGCCCCTTTTCCAAGAGAAACTCCTCTGTATAGCAGCAGACTTCACCCAATACAAATATACATCCTGTACGAGAACACTCTTTGTGAAGGTGCATCCCAACAGAGAAATACTCCTAGTGTAGCTCCAACCTAATAGCGAAAGGCCCCAGTGTAGATATATTCCCCCTCACCTTCTCCCGAGGCCGAGCCTACAGCCTGGGAGTCACCTGGGAGGCCGCTTTTGCTCCAGGTATCTGAGCCTGGATCAGCTCTGAGGGCATCATCTCCAACTCCTTCATTTTATAGGATAGAAGCAGGCTCAGATTTGGGCTGTGATGTGTCCAAGGATGTGATACGTTTGCGGTGGGGAGAGGGGGGTTAGCCTAGAAGCCTTTAGTCTTTGCCTCACGCCCCATACGTGAACTATCTGAGCTCATAGCCAGGGATGAAACAGGATTCCAGCTTCAACCGCCTCCCAGACCTGGGAAGGGGGTGGGGTGCGGGGCCAGAGCTGGAGAGCAGAGCTCATAGTGGGCAGGGCTGGGGGAGCCTTCTGGCAGGATCCTGAACCCCTGCCCTGGGCCTGTCTGATTCTACCATCACCACTCTGCACACATCTCTCCAGGAGAGAGCTACTGATTCAGCCGTTTATTCCGAATTCTCACAGCATCTATTGAGACGTCTTCTCCCCTTCCCCAGTCCCACAAGTGGGCCGTACTGAGGGTGGGAGATGTGATCACAGGCAGAGCCCTAGGCTGGGGAGCAGGCAAGTTCAGTTGGGCACATTTATTGAGCTCCTTAGTGAGTGCCAGGCCCTGCCCAAGATGCTCGAGGTCCCCACTCAGCAACACCCAGCCCTTGCTGTCCACAGAACCAGAGGGCTGGGACCCCCATCCTGCCCCCACCCCACCCAGCAAAGCCCACGGAATGACCCACTGGCACGAGTCCGGGCCAGGTCCTGACACCCCTTTGTCCCCGCAGCTGTGGATCATGCCCGCCTTCGGGGCCCGCCCCCACTTCAGCAACGCTGTGGAGGTGGACTTCTATGGCTACTCCCTCTGGGCAGCCATCGTCAACATCTGCCTGCCCTTCGGCGTCTTCTACCGCATGCATGCTGTCTCCAGCCTGCTGGAGGTCTACATGCTGTCCTGAAGCCCCACTAGAGACGTGGGGAGGAGGGGCTCAGCTCATGCACCCACCCAGAGACCCCCGGGGAATGAATCCCAGGCTGGCAGTCACTATGCCACGTAACTACCCATTCCCCCGCCGGCCTCAGAGTGGAATTTTCACAAAAGTTATTTTTCCAGGATGAGTTTTTAAATCACAATCAGGACATGCATATCCCTGGGGCATGGGGCAAGCGGGGGGTGGGGGTGGGGAGGAGGACCTCTCCCTGCACCCTTTCTAGGACCAGGCAAGATCTGGAAGTGTCCTAGCCTCTAGCTCCACCCCTACCCCCGCCCCGTGTCCTGGCCAATGCTGTCGCCTGGAGGTGGAAACCAATAAACCTGCTGTTCTCCCTGCCCCACCCTGTGCCCACTTCGTGTCTCAGCAGCCACATCTAAGATGATCTCAGGACGGGGTCTTGGGGTCAGAGCTGCAAGGGCCCCTGGAGATATTCAGCTCTCAGGCTTTTCTGTGGGTGAGCCAAGTCTGAGTCACAGACTAGTTACAGACTCGTACCTGGGTGGCTGGGAGGGGCTGGGTGGAGTACCCAGGCTGCCACCTTCCTCTTCGCTTTATCCTCAAGTGACATATACATTTTTTAATGTGTTCCATGACACATGAAAGGTTAGGAAGGACTCACCTAATCCAACTACGATTTTACAAAGAAGAAAACTGAGGCCCAGAGAGGTAAAGTGACTGGCCCACAGTCACACAGCGAAAGGGAGCCAGTGCCTTTCTACTAAGAATAATAATTTTCAAACTTTTTTCATGCATCAGAGCTTTTGTTTTCCCCTCAAATGAAACATTTCAGGAACGCAACTTCAATTCATAGGCTGTTATAACATAATTTATAACAGGGCTGTTATAGCTAAACAGGGCTTGGGTGGCACAGACTCTCACCCCCTGGGCCTCCTCTTACCCACAACCCCACTCCCTGCAGTCCCTGAGGCTCCTCTCCAAAGCCCTCTGGCTTCTACTCTACAAGAGATATAGAGACGGGGCAACTGTGAAGCTGGGGAGGTCCTGGCAGGGCAGAGGCTATGGGATCTCACTGTTTCCCCAGCCCTTCGACCTTCTCCAAAGCTCCTCAATAAAATGGTTTGATCCAAAAGAAGGTGGGGAGGGGGGATATAGAGATGGACTCAGAGAGACTGAGGAAGTCAGATGGTGCAGAGAGAGATTGAAAAAGGAGGCACCAACAGCTAGAATAGGAGGCGGAATTGGTGGCCAGCGAGCGAGTCAGGTGAAGGGGGACAGGCTGGGGTGGGGACTGGGGTGGGAGGAGATGGCATTTTGTGCAGGAGAGTGGGAGCAGCCGCACCTGGGGCACAGGGCACTATAGAGGAAAACGTGCCAGGACCCCACCAGCACGATGAGGTGGGCAGGTCTCAGAGGCTGCAGGAAGAGCTGAGGAGGGCCGCAGGGGCGCCACCTCTTTCGCCCCAAGTTCATGTTTGCCTTAGGGAGAGACAGCTTGCGTCAGGGCCGGGCCTGGTGCTACGTGGGGTACAAGAGAAGGCGACCCCGGATCTGTGGGGGAGGGTCCATTCCCTGCTGGGCCGCCAGAGGCAAGTGTGGCCTGAACCCTACACGGCCTCTGTTGCGGCCTAAGGACATTGCACCCCGATCTACCCCGGAAGCGGGCCTGCTCGTGGGTCCCCTGACCCAGAGCCCCGCGCAGGCCCCGCCTCCGGCCCCGCCCGCCCGTCCAGCCGCCTCGCTATTGGCTGAGCTGTCCGGGGAGCCCCCGGCGGGGTAATTAACGAAGGATTGATTAATGAGAGCCCCAAAGTCAACAGAAAAATCAATGGGCCGCGGAGTCCGAGAGGCGGCTGCGCAGTCCCGCGGAGGGAGGGCGTCGGAGGCATCGGTCCGGCGCAGGGGCCTCAACCGGACAGACGATCCGCGCTGCGGTGGTCAGCGGCGGCGATGCCTTCCCAGGCCTCAGGTAAGGCTCCCCGGCGGCGCCGTTACGGCCGGGAGCGCCCTCTGACCCCTGGAGGAACATTCCGGAGAGCCCATCCTCGACACTCACACCTACTCCGCTCCCAAAGCGAGGGTCAGAGACCGGGGGCTGCAGGGACTGGGGCTGGAGGGCGAGATGACGGGAGGAAGGTCAACCCTTGGTGACCCGAACGGCGGCCCCCCTCTGCCCCCACCCCGGCTCTGCACCCCGTCTCCTTTCCGCGGGCGGGGGGCGCGCAAGGGTCAGCAGGGCACCCCCCGCCTTAGCCGGGTCCGAGCTCGCACAGCGGAAAGAGAGCGCGGAAGCCGGAAAGAAGCTAAAAGCCCGGACGGCTGGGAAAAGGCGGGGTGGGGCTGCGTTGCCGGGATGCCCGGTCAGAGGCCCCCGTGTGGTGCCTGTCCCAGGCCTCGCAGTCCCTCGAGTGGCTCGGAAAGAAATCCCGTAGCTCCGCGACCAGTGCTTATCAGCATCCGTCGGATCCGGCCAGGCGCCGCGCCCCGACGGCTCTGCAGCTTTCATCACTGGCTCTAATCGCGACCCACAAACCAGTTTGGTGTCCGGGCCCTCCCCTGAACTGGCGTCGCGCGGAGGGGCGAGCCAGAGGATGGCGGGTTCCTCCTTGTCCGTCAGGGAGCCCTCACACTCTTCCCGCGAACCCTGCTTGCCCATCCCCGCACCCTCCCCAGCGGAGGACCCTATTCTCCACTTTGAGCGCTCCCTCTAGCGGCCGAGGGAGGGTTGGACCCTGGGGGTGGGGACGGGGAAGATAGTGAAGGTGAGGACCCTGGAGGACAGGACCTCGTCCTCCAGCGTCCTCTCTAGGCCTGCAGTCCAATCAAAACCTGCCCCTGCAATTCACCAATAATCCAGACCGTTCCGGCCTCTCCAGGACCTGGACAGAACAGGAAGGAAACGCATAAACAGCTAACACTGAGAGCATTCTCTATGCCAGGCATGTCTCTACATGCACTTACATGTGTTAAATCATTTAATTTTGAAAAATCCCCATCAGGTAGGTATTACGCCTTAATTCCTTCATTTACTCATTCAAGAAATCTTTATCGAACATCTACTATGTAACGGGTACTATTCCATAGTCGTGTATCTGTTTACAGACGAGGAAACTGAAGCACCGAGAGTCTAAGTAGCTTGACCAAGATCACACAGGTAGTAAGTGCCAGAATTCAGCACTAGACTATCCTCCTGGCTTGGGGTAGATTCTGGGAAGGCGAAATGGGGCAGTCAGGTTTGGGAGAAAAGGAGCAGGGAGGTGTCCCTGTAAGCTTCAGATGTGCTCAACCTGGGTGGGGGAGCCTGGGAAGAAAGACCAAGATCATCTGGAAAGTCACCTCCACTGGGCCAGGATGGATGCAAAGGGTTTGATGGGAAGGGTTTCTGTCCACGGCTCTGGTGCTGAAAGTTCCCCAGAAAATGCCAGAGTCAGTCAGCTAACATTGGTTCAGTGTCCTGCCTGTGCCATATGTGGGGGATGAGGTAAGCAAGAGCTGGTCGCTGCCCACCAGGCACACCCACAGCAGTGCACACCCGCTCTCGATAGATGTTTGGGCAAAGGGAGAAGTCTTCCCAGGAGAAGCGCTTAAGATGGGTGGTGAGGATGGGCACGAGCCGTTGGTGGAGGGTAGCGGGAGAGGCAGAAGGAAGAGCAGGCTGCAGGAGTGATGGGGGGGCACGAGGCTACATGAGACATGGGGAGTCCTCTGGCCGGGCCTGGTTGAATGTGCGGAGGAGGTGCCTAGAGTGTGACAAGGGGGCTGGACGAGGAGGGGACAGAACTGGAGCAAGAATGACGTGGAAGACTGGGAAGAGGGGAATCATTGGTAGAATCTTTAAAAGAGTACCAAGTTTTATTATTCTATTTGCCCCAGAAGAGGACCTTAGGAGGTATAAATATTGGGCAGGTTGCACATTGGAGAATGGGGGCCTGAAGAGGCTGCATTTTAGAGCCAAGTGTGCTGAGGGTCTTCTGATAGTTACACAGGGGGATAGTCTAAAGGTCAGAGTCCAAAGGGAGAGACAGAGCAAAGCACAGCTAATTAAAATAGAGCATGAACACTGATGTGTATAAAATTGATGACTAATAAGAACCTGCTGTATAAAAAAATAAATTAAATTTTAAAAATAAATAAATAAAATAGAGCATGACATGGGACTTCCCTGGTGCTCCAGTGGCTAAGGCTCCGCACTCCGAATTCAGGGAGTCCAGGTTCGATCCCTGGTCAGGGAACTAGATCCCATGTGCCGCAACTAAGAGTTTGCGTGCCGCAATTTCAAAAAAAAAAAAAAGATCCCCCATGCTGCAACGAAGGACCCAGTGCAACCTAATTAATTAATTTAAAAAGAAGTAAACTTAAAAAAAATAACATAAAATAGAGCATGGTAGGTGATGCTTCAGCAACAAGCACGGGTGCAGTGGGGGTACCAAGAGGGGCACCTAGTCCAGCCTTGGCGACAGGGTTCAGGGGAGGCTTCCTAGAGGAGGTGGGGCTCCACTGAGTCCTGAGGACACACCGCAGTCATCCAAGGGGCAAGTGGGTGGGCATGATGGGCAAAGAGTAAGGTGTGGGCAAAGACAGGGAAGTGAGCAAAAGCAGGGGCACTCTAGGAACTAGGCAACAGGATGGCACGGTCCATGGGCAAGGGAGTGGGGGTCTGAAGACAGGGCTGGAGAGGAAAGTTAAGACCAGACCAGGAAGCAACAGCGGCTACCCTGCCTTGATCATCTTGTGCACCCCAAGCCCATACTAAGCATACACTGCCTTGTTTCATTTTGAAAGGCCATGCAGGCCATGCTAGATAGTTTGGACTCTATAGTGAGGACAGTTGGTTGCCTTTGCAGGGGGAGTAGGGGAGGGGCACAGTGGGTAGGGAGACCAGCCCAGGAGAGAGAAGAGGGAGCCGTGGACCAGGGTAGGGCTTGTGGTAAAGAAAAATCTCAGAGCAGTCCTTGAGCTGGAATGCACAGGGGTGAGGGGAGAGGCAAGTCAGACACTTGGTTCCCTGCTGGGAGACATGGGGATGGAGACTCCACTTGCTGAGACAGTGAATTAGAAAGCAGGCCTCCTGCAGCCTGGACAAGGGGGAGCACCTAGGACCCTGATCCCCTAGGACCCTGAGCCCAGAGCACCAGGGATGCCAAGGCAGCAGCGGGACCAAGGGAGAGCACCTGGGACAGCAGGGGGTGGTGAAGGAACCTTCCCACCAGGACAGCACCCAGACCAGTGGGGCATCCCTGCACTCCAGTGCAGCGTTATGAGTACTCAAAGGGCCCATGGGGGAAGCGTGCTGGACTCCAGGAAGGGGTCCTGAGCTGCAGGTATGGGGTGACCCAAGATCTGGGTCCAAGTGAAGGCTAACAAAGGGGTCGGCCTGAGTGAAAGCTTGGGGCAAGTGAGAAAGTAGCAGGAGACACTCAGGGAAAGAAAAGGGTCAGGATGGTGTTCCCCATGTTGAGCTGTACATTCATGAGACTTCAAGGAGTTGAGGGAGGGTACAGATGGAAGTCAGTTCTATCAAAGTCAAGGGTATGGGACTTCCCCTGGCAGTCCAGCGGTTAGGACTCTGCGCTTTCACTGACGAGGGCACGGGTTCAATCCCTGGTCAGGGAACTAAGATCCCACAAGCTGTGCGTCACAGCAAAAAAAGAAAGAAAGTCAAGGGGATGACATTCATGCTCATCCCAATGTGTCCCATGCTCATGGCAGACATTGTCAATCAATCTCAGAACTTTTTCCTTAAACCTTTAATGTGCTTTAAAATTAACTTTAATTACATAAGTAATGTTTGTTTGTTTGTTTATTTTTTGGCTGTGTTGGGTCTTCATTGTTGCACGTGGGCTTTCTCTAGTTGCAGAGAGCAGGGGCTACTCTTTGTTGTGGTGCGCGGGCTTCTCATTGCGGTGGCTTCTCTTGTTGAGGAGCATGGGCTCTAGGCACTCGGGCTTCAGTAGTTGTGGCCCACGGGCTCAGTAGTTGTGGCGCACGGGCTTACTTGCTCTGTGGCATGTGGGATCTTCCTGGACCAGGGCTTGAACACGTGTCCCCTGCATTGGCAGGCGGATTCTTAACCACTGCACCACCAGGGAAGTCCCAGTAATTTTTTTTTTTTTAAGAAAAAAAAAAAAAACTAGAACATTAAACCTCTCCCCATGCTAGTGCCCTCCTCCTTTCCCCAGAAGAAACTCCTGGTGTGAACTTGATGGGTGTCTTCTAGATGTTTTAAAAGTAATTTTAGGGACTTCCCTGGCAGTCCAGTGCTTAAGACTTTGCCTTCCAATGCAGGGGGTGTGGGTTCAATCCCTCGTCAGGGAGCTAAGATCCCACATGCCCCACAGTCAAAAATCAAACGTGAAGCAGAAGCAATATTGTAACAAGTTCAATAAAAAGACTTTTTTAAAAAGTAATTTTATATACACCCATATGTACCCAAAATAGAGTATTATCTCAGATCACAGCATTCTTTCCCACCAAGCCCACGCTCAGCCTCAGGATCCTTCTCAACCCAACACTCTAGGCAACCACTGCCCAAGTAATCAGAGTCAGAACAAGAGAGGACACCTACTTGCTCTCCCTGACTTGAGGAGTGAATTTCCTTCCAGAAGACAGAGGGCACAAACTGCCTTTTGGTGGTGAAAAGTCACAGCCTTGGAAACTGCCCAGCGGCCAAGCACTGTGCAGATATCCCTGGCTGCCTTGACAGACATCATTATTCCACCTTAAGATCAAGCACTGATGCAGGAGGATAGGGGTGGGGGGAAGGCGGTCCTCAAGCCAGTCGAAATAAACCCTATGTTTATGTGGAGCACAAAGGGCTTCCATATCCCCTGGTCTGTTTGAATCTTCTCGGGCCCTGTAAGGCAGATGGGGCAGCTGCTATTATTTCCAATGTCCTGACCAGAGAGGTTGCTTAGCTTGCCTAGGTCCCACAGCGGTTAGAGGCAGAAGCGGAATTGAGCCCAGGACGGCTTGGCAGCCAACCAGAGCCCTATCTCCCTCCCCAGCCCCTACTGAGGCTCCACCCATGGCCTCTCCAGAAGCACAGGAGACTGGAGAGACCCCGGCCAAGGAGAACCAAGTGGCCACGGGGGCCGAGCAGACAAGGGCCCCCGCCTCGCCCCTCAAGAGGTCCTGGCTGGTGCGGCACTTCTCACTGCTGCTGCGCCGGGACCAGCAGACCCAGAAGGCCGGGCAGCTCTTCTCGGGGCTCCTGGCCCTCAACGTGGTGTTCCTGGGTGGAGCCTTCATCTGCAGCATGATCTTCAACAACGTGGCCATCACGCTGGGGGATGTGTGGATCCTACTGGCGGCGCTGAAGGCCCTGGCCCTCCTTTGGCTTCTCTACTACACCGCCAGGACCACCCGCCGGCCGCAAGCCGTGCTCCACCAGGACCCGCACGCAGGACCAGCTTGGGTGCGCGGTGAGTGTCGGGGCGCCTGGGTGGATGCAGAGGGGTGGGGAGGGAGGGCTCTTTCCAGGGGAGGTGCCAACAGCCCCCTGGCCCGGCCAGGCTCCCTGGTGCTCTTTGGCAGCTGCACCATCTGCCTCAACGTCTTCCACATGGGCTACAGCATGAGCCACATCCACTGTAAGTCACAGCTGGAGCTCATCTTCCCGGCCATCGAGATCATCTTCATCGGCATCCAGGTGACCCGCCTCTCGCACCTCCTCGCCGCGTGCGTACACACCACAGCCTATGCCTAGAAACAGCCACATCAGCAAATACCTACACGGCCCAGAGTATGTACACACATACCACAGCACCCCTCCACATGCCTGCCTCTGTGTGCCCACACCCATGCTACCTACATGTGTCAGCATCAGCACACACACTGTGTCACTGAAACGCAGGCACCTATAGATACATTTGCCTGTACGTACCTGTGTGTACCTAAATCTACAGCCCCTGGATATACTGTGCTACTCGCTTTTTTTTTTTTTAAATACAATTTATTTATTTATATTTTTGGTCGAGCGGCATGTGGGATCTTAGTTCCCCGACCAAGGGGCCCGCTGTATTGGAAGCATGGAGTCTTAATCACTGGACCACCAGGGAAGCCCTACAGAGCTACTTTTTTTTTTTTAAAAGAAGGTTTATTTATTTATTTATTTATTTATTTATTTATTTATTTATTTATTTATTTTGGGCTGCGTTGGGTCTTTGTTGCTGCGCGCAGGCTTTCTCTAGTTGCGGTGAACGGGGGCTGCTCTTTGTTGTGGTGTGCGGGCTTCTCATTGCGGTGGCTTCTCTTGTTGCAGAGCACAAGCTCTAGGGGCGCGGGCTTCAGGATTTGTGGCACATGGGCTCAGTAGTTGTGGCTCGCAGGCTCTAGAGAGCAGGCTCAGTAGTTGTGGCGCACGAGCTTAGTTGCTCTGCAGCATGTGGGATCTTCCTGGACCAGGGCTCAAACCCGTGTCCCCTGCATTGGCAGTTGGATTCTTAATGCCACCAGGGAAGTCCCCAGAGCTACTCTTAATGAATCTCCAACTCCCTCCTGAGTTCCTGATCTGCAGGCATTGTGCTATGTGTTTTGTTTGCATCATCCTTTTTATTGCCCCAGTAAGTAGGCATTCCCCTGATAGACATTTTAGTCCTATTTTAGAGCCGAGGAGACTAAGGCTCAGAGATGTTTTTCCACTGGCCCAAGACCACACAGCAAGGAAACACTGGAGCCACAAATCCAACCCAGTCTTCCTCACTGTCCCTTCCATTGTAAATACACACATGCAACTGGAACACATGCCCCATAGTCCCACCACCAACCTTCGCCCCACCCCTACCCCTGGGCTCAAGGCCCTTTCTCTTTCAGACCTGGGTGCTCTGGAAACACTCTAAGGACTGCGTTCAGATCCAGACCAACTTCACTAGGTAAGATGCGGGCACCTTCTCTCCTTCCAACAACTCCTGGGATACCCCTGTCCCCCACTCATGCTGGTCCCCCAACAGCTTCCCTGGACAGGGTGGCCCTGGGGCTATCCGTTAGTCTGGGAATGGGTCCCATGTAGCCCCTAGGGCTGCCCCTCCTGAAGTTCTAATGGCAGATGGCATCTGGCTTTGGGAGAGAGTGGTCACCACAAAGGCAGTGATGGTGAACGTGGGGCACCCAGGAAGCCGGCTAGGCTGTGTGGCAGAGTGTAGCACCTCCTCCAGGTGTGGCCTGATGCTGACGCTGGCCACGAATCTGCTGCTGTGGCTTCTGGCCGTCACCAACGACTCCATGCACCATGAGATCGAGACTGAGCTCAGCGCCCTCATGGAAAAGTTCTCAGGTACAGAGGAGACCATGACTGCCCCCCCAATCGCTGAATGTACACACACACACACACACACACACACACACACACACACACACACGTGCATGCACGCTACATTCCCTCAAACAGGTGAGGCTCAATGACTCTGCAGAGTTGGGAGAAAGCTCTAGAGACCAGATCATGACTAAACGGAAACTGACATTTGCCAATGGTACCCATCCTGCCCCATAAGGTGCTGGCACTCTGCAAGCCCACTCCAGGCATCCATCTAGCTATCAGTAAGCTAACCACTAATCCTGGCTGAGCTATTCACTGATAAGTCCAGGTATGCACTCTACCCCTGGTATTTGCATTTTACTTGCAAGAAACTAAAAAGCCTTCAAGACTGAAAGGAATGTCTTCCTAACACAGTTGTAGGTACCTGGACATATAAGGAAGAACAGAAGGTTTCTGGGCAGAAAGAACTCCTTGGATTGTTCCATGTACCCAGTGCCCTACCTGTCAGTCTGCCCTTAGAGGCCATGTCCCGTAAACCTACATGGGAACATTTCTGTCTGTGGAATTCAGCCACACCTGTATGTATACACCTCCCCCCACCCCAGGTGGCATCACCATCCTGACCTGTGTACAGCCAAGCCTTCCCCACAGACTCATGCATTCACACATCCATTGCATAAATCTCAGCATGCCTGTATAACGTGGGCATTCTTTTTGTGTGTGTGTGTGGTGCGCGGGCCTCTCACTCTTGTGGCCTCTCCCGTTGCGGAGCACAGGCTCCGGACGCGCAGGCTCAGCGGCCATGGCTCACGGGCCCAGGCGCTCCGCGGCATGTGAGATCCTCCCGGACCGGGGCACGAACCCGTGTCCCCTGCTTCGGCAGGCGGACTCTCAACCACTGCGCCACCAGGGAAGCCCCCGTGGGCATTCTTTATGGTCCAGATCCATTTTTCAGAAGACCTGTGCAAAGAGAATTTTCGGCAAGTAACATCATGGATTGTTTCTTATTAAACAATTCAAGCATACAGATGAGTAGAACAGGACATACCCATCACCTAGATGTAATAATCATTAACATTTTGCCATATTTATTCCAATATTTTTGCTGAATTACTTACGTTGCAGAAATATTGGCATTTCATCTCAGAATATTTCAGTATGCACGTCTTTAAAATAATATCGTTCCCTACATTAGCACAAATGCCATTGTAATTTCTAACAAAATGCCTTAACTTCATCCCCATCCTCTGTATCAATCTATGTTAGACTTTCTCCAATCGGCCCATGAAATGTCTTTTAAAGATGGTTTGTTCAAACGTGCAGTACATTTGGTGGCTCAGTTAAGTCTCTTTTCCCCTAATGACATTGAGATTTGTCAGGTTGCTTCCTCGTGGTGGCATTTGACTTGTTCCCAAATCCCCTGCTTTTCCTAGAAACAGGAAGTATGCACCAAAGTGTTGATTAGATTTGGGTTGAGCATTTTGGACACCAACATTCCACAGGGGATACTGTGTGCTCTGCAGGGCGCCTCATCACAAGGCAAGATGTCTGCCCCACAGTGGACGCTGCTGATGGTCGCGGCGTGTCAGCGAGATCCTCCCAGTATAAGGTTACAGGCTTCCCCCTGTGCTCAGCAAGTAATCTGTAGAGGTGACATTTGGCACCAAAGACATCATGTGTCAAATGCTTTACCTAAGCTTGGCACCTGAGGTCTAGAATCCCTTTGTCAAGGAAAGACCATCCTGGGGACTTCCCTGGTGGTCCAGTGGTTAAGACTCCACGCTTCCACTGCAGGGGGCATGGATTCGATCCCTGGTCAGGGAACTAAGGTCCCACAAAAAAAAAAAAAGAATGACCATCCTGTGATTTCTGACTTCTCTCTGTTGTCCTCAGTTTCCACATCTGTAAAATGGGTGGTTGGGTCCCTTCCACCTCTGCCATAATCCAGGAGGTGAACAGATTGATTTGTGCATCTGGTTTCCTCAGAGCAAGGCCCACCTGAATGTCTGTCCCCTCCTGCCCTGCCCCCTCCCAGGCAACAACACCAACACCTGTCTGTGCCTCAACGTCACCACGTGTGAGGTCTTCCAGAAGGGCTACCTGATGCTCTACCCCTTCAGCACCGAGTACTCCCTCATCTGCTGTGGCATGCTCTTCGTCATGTGGAAGAACGTGGGCCGCCGCCTGGCACCCCACACAGGCTCCCACCCCAGCACCCCGCCCTTCCACCTGCACGGGGCCATCTTAGGGCCGGTGCTGGGCCTGCTGGTCCTGGTGGCAGGCACGTGTGTCTTCGTGCTCTTTCAGATCCAAGCAAGTGGCCCTGCCATCGCGCGCCAGTACTTTACCACCTACTATGCCTTCTATGCAGCCACACTGCCCACTATGAGCCTGGCGTGCCTGGCGGGCATGGCCATCCATGGGCTGGAGGAGCGAGAGCTAGACACGCTCAAGAACCCCACCCGCAGCCTGGACGTGTTGCTGTTGATGGGCGCAGCACTGGGCCAGATGGGCATCTCTTACTTCTCCATCGTGGCCATCGTGGCCACTCGCCCCCACGAGCTACTCAACCACCTCATCCTGGCCTATTCGCTGCTTCTCATCCTGCAGCACATAGCCCAGAACCTCTTCATCATCGAGGGCCTGCACCGGCGCCCACTCTGGGAGGCAGCTCGCGAGAGCCTGGCAGGGAAGTGGGAGGCTGAGCCTCCCCGCAGGGGCTCCCTGCTGGAGCTGGGCCAGGACCTACGGCAGGCCTCGCTGGCCTACATCCACTCCTACAGCCACCTCAACTGGAAGCGGCGGGCCCTCAAGGAGATCTCACTCTTCCTCATCCTCTGCAATATCACAGTGAGTGGCGGGGCCGGGAGGCATGGGAGTGGAGCCAGCACGGAGGCCCCAGAAATCCTCACTCAGGAAGGGATGGATCAAGGTGCATTCATTGTGCATTGACTGTCCCGAGGGAGACTGGCTTGTCCCTTTGATTGTCAAGGACACAGGCCCCTTTCCAACTAGCTTGATGCTGCTTGAGAGTAGGGCGCGTCCCCCAGCACCCTGCAAGGTGCCTGGCATGAATGAATGTGCCAAGCATGTAGCTAAGTGCTATTTACAAACATACATAGAGGATTTCTACCCTCGGGGAGCTTACTGCTTAGCTGAGGAGACACAGGGGGACCAGTTAAAGAATTACCAAGTGATTAATGGTCCACTGACTTGAGTCAAAGGAAGAGATCAGAAGGTGCCTGTTTTTCTAAAGAATTTCTAGGGGAAGGTATTGACAATGACTGCTCGGTGCCCGGCGGCTGCTAAGTTCCAAGTCCACCTTTCCGTGCATCTCTCTGAATCATCACACTAACTCCATGCAACAGGCACTATTACTGTCCCTATGGGCAAACTGAGCCTTAGGCTGTTTGACCTGCCGTGTTCCCACAAGCCTGCAAGTGGCAGTCCCGGGACAACTCCAGGTTGTTTTAGCCCATGCTGGTAATAGCTGTGCTGGAAACACCTCAGAGGGTGAAACCTCTGGTCCAGACAGAGCATAAGTAATAAATTGGCCCTAAAGTGTGGTCGGAGCTCAGAGAAGGAAGTGTGGGCCCAGGTGGCCAAGGAAGGCTTTGTGAAAGTTTGATCTGGGCCTTGAGAAACGGGCAGAATTTGGACAGGAGGCAGGGTCGGGGTGGAGCGGGCAGAGAGTCATGACAGCGGAAGAATGAACCCAGAGCAGAAAAAGGTGATGGAAACGAGGGCCCAGGGGAGCCCAGGTGGAGCAGGTTGTACTGTGGTGGTGGCAGCCTGGGGTCTCAGGATCCAGCTGGAGTTCAGGCTGGCCCCAGGCAGGCCAAGGAGGGGGCTGAGGCCTTCTGTGGGATGGGGTGAGGGGGATATAGGGGGAGAGGGGCTGGTTCTGAAAGCCTACGCTAGCGTGGGGGGTATGCTGCAGGAGCTGCAGGTTCTGGGGCCTCCCATGAGCTGAGGGCCTTAGGGGATGGGAGAGCCCCTCCCCCACTCAACCCCCTCCTCTCGCCGCCAGCTGTGGATGATGCCTGCTTTCGGCACACACCCGGAGTTTGAGAACGGGCTGGAAAAGGATTTCTATGGCTACCGGACGTGGTTCACCATCGTCAACTTCGGCCTGCCGCTTGGGGTCTTCTACCGCATGCACTCTGTCGGGGTGCTGGTGGAGGTCTACTTGGGGGCCTGAGAGTGCCCAAGAAACCCACCCCCTGCACACCCCCAAAGTGCCAAGGCTGGGGAGAATGTAACCCAGATGCCCCATTCCAGGGGTACCTAGACCAGCCCGGATTCCCCCAAGCCTCCTCTTCCCCAGATCCTCACTGGGGTGGGTGGTCACGGCAGCCCAAGGCCAAGGGCAGGGCCCGGACACTGAACTGTTAAGGCCCACACCCAGGACTGAGCACATACCTGCCCCCTGCTCACCACCACAATCAGCGCAGCCCCAGGAAGCCCACTCAACTACTCTCGGGGACGGTCAGCCCTAAATGATTCCAGGGAGTTTGGGGAGGGGCACCCCTACCCAGCCAGGCCTTGGGGGTCTGCCTCCTGCGTGGTCCAAGCTCAGCCCAGGACGTCCGGAAGCTCGCAGCTGGGCAGGCAGCCCTGCCCTTCTCTCCCCACACACCCTGTCTCCTAATGAGCTGGTTAATTAGCTGCCAGGCAGGGGTCAACAGCTCTCTCCCGCTGACATAAACCCTGTTTGTTTGATCGATTACATTCTGGCTTCGTGGCATTTTGTTCCCGGGGACAGAGAGGACACTCTGTGTATATGGTGGGAAGGGACAGTCCTCCTGGGCGGGGCTGTAGGGCTGGGACAATCCTATTTCTGGGCCACGAGGGGTCTCAACCCTTTGTCTGGTCCCCCCCTTGTCTGATGCATGGGAGGAGGTGGGAAGAGAGGAGCCGGGGCTCTCGCATCCCCCTACCCCTCTCCAGCACACCTCCTCCCCAGGACGGAGCCCCCTGTGACTTTCTGTAGCCGCTCACCCCAGGCCCGCCGATCCTCTGAGCCATCGGGTGGGGAGGGCAGGCACTGACAGCCCAGCCATCTCCCTGAGCCCAGCGCAAACAGTGAACTGTGCCCAGGGTGAGGCCCAGGGACGGCAGCCCTGGAACCTGCAGGCCAGGCTTGTACCCCTTGCAGCTGGGTGCTAGACCCCCAGCGCTGTCTCACTGGCTGCCTGGGGGCCGTGCAGGAGGCTGGGAGGCAGGCCCCTTGCCTCTCCTGTGTGGGCTCTTCCTCTCGGGGGGGCCACAGCCTGGGGCGTCCAACCCTCCACTTTCCCACCCAAGAAAGTGACAAACACTGGTTCCCAGGTGCGCAACGAGGGCCCTCTGGGGCCTGATTCTGGGAGGCAGAGTCCCCAGCTTCCCTGAAAACAAGAGCCATGGCCTGACCCCCTCCCCTCCAAGCACAAAGACGCAGGGCATGGAGAGGGGGTTTTATTGTGTAAAGAGGCCGATTGTACAGAGCAAAGATTGTACTGACACAGGTGGGGTGAGGGAGACCAAGAAGCCAGAATCAGGAGGATGGGGCATTGGTATCCTGGTCTCCCGCCCCGCAAGTCATCAGGCAGTGGGCAGGGGCAGGGAGGACCGATCAGCTGTTCCCCCGCCCCCATTCATTACCGTACCAGAGCCAGCCAGGCTATATTCACTGACCCAGAAGAATATAGCAGGAGACTCTCAACACCCCCCTCCAAATCCCTAAAATGCGCGAGGTCCCCTCGCCTGGCTTCTGGTGCCTGTCAGCCCCCAACCTCCTCCACAAGCAGCCTGGTCACCCTCCTTCCCGGGGTCCTGGCAGCGAGCCGGGCCCGGACCAGGTGGTTTCAGGTTAGGAGGCTTGGAAAGGCTCCCCTCACCCTGCCCAGGTGCCTCAAGGGGCCACCCAAGACTCCCTCTTGGGCAGCCCACTAGGGCACAGTGACCTGGTGGCCTCCAGGGCTGGGCAGCTCAGGAGCCAGGCGGGCACTGAGGGTCAGCACAGAAACGGGTCCCGAAGGGGAGCCAGAGTGAGGTGGGCCCCTGGTGGAGGGCTGCAGCCCTGGAGACAGAAGGTTCCTCTCAGTCCAGCCTGGAGGCAGGGGGCAGGGGCGTCCCCACCATCCCAGCCACAAGGGGCCTCCAGGCTCTGCCACTCAGGACTCAGCCACTCAAGCCCCGAGCCCTGACCGTAGTAATTTAAAGCTCAGAATGGTGGGTCAGGGGGAACATCGGGGGACCAGGGTCCCCTGCCCTCCCCTGGTCCCTGCCCCTTGCAGGCTTCCATCTTCACACCCGCTGGATCTCAAACAGCTTCACGTCTGTGTCGTACCAGACAGGTGGGTCCACGTTCCTGCAGAGGGAGTGGGCTGTCACCCAGGTGCCACGAGGCCTTGCAGGAAAGACTGGGGAGGAACGAGGCTGTCGTCCTCCCACCCTGATGTTCTCTGCCCCCTGCCCCTGGGGAAGTGGGTGCCCACCCTCCACCAGACAAGACCACCCTGGTTGACTGTCTTGACATTAACCCCACTACCCTAGTGGGGCACAGCCCCACTGAGCTGACCCTCGGGTGGATGCCAGACCCACCCTGGCCGGTGACTGCCCCACCCCCAAAGGGCCCACCTCAGATAGATGACGCCCCACATGTAGGTGCGGAACCACATGGCCGTGCCCGAGTTGGCCTGGTACTTGCGGATGAGGATGGGGTGGGGCACGGGCAGCAGCCCCACCAGGGTGCCATGTTGCAGGAACCGCAGGATCTCTGACTCGTCCGTCAGGCCCCTGCCAGGGAGAGGAGGGTCTCCAATGTGCCCACTCTGAAGGTCAAGGGGAGCAGAGGGCTCACCCTGGACCCCCGAGGCCCATGCTCCCGGCCACACCCCCAGCGCAGCCTGGGCTGGCCCCTCAGAGCCCCGCCCCCAGCCCCGCCCCCAGCCTCACTTGTCAATGCAGATCTTCTCCACCTGGGGAACCAGCACCTGGAGCAGCCGCATGATGGTTTGCAGCGGAAGCTTCGACTTCCAGGAGAGGACCTGGGGGAGGGACTGCGGTTCCTGGGCTGGCGAAACAGCCTCCAGAGGCTGTGGCATAGGCTTGACCCCTGACCTGAAACCATGGACTCCCCAAGGCAGAAGGCATCCCCGCTCATCACAGCAAGGGCCTGGCACAGGGCAGTGCCCGTGCACAGTGACTGCTATTCACGGGAAGAGCTGAGGCCTCTCACTGAGCATGTACTATGTGCCCGAAAGTATCCCCTTTGATCCTCACAATGGCGTGATGAGGTAGGGACATTTATTATCCCCGTGCAAATGCAATTAGTGGTGATCTCGGGAATCATGTAAGGGAGTGGGCAAGTGATTTGGGGAAGGAAGCTGGAAAGGGTGATTTACTAAGAAAGGGCTGTGGACAACTGAAGCTTAACCGTGCTGGGGAACAAACTCTGGGACAGTGTAGACAGAGGAAGCGACCAAGCCAGAGAGGCCAAAGTCATGAGACAGGACTGACCCGTAACCTGACCCGGGCCAGTCCTCGGATTTGGACCCATTCCCATCCAAGCCTCTCCTGAGCTGTTCCCAGGGCCGGGAGCCCCGGACCCACCCCCGCACTTTGTACCATCTGTCCCACCCTCACCCACTCCGATGTCGGGCTCCACTGCCCACCGGCTGATGCGCTGGACAGTCGCCGCTGCTCCCGCCACGCCTGGCTGGGCTCCTGGTCCCGGGGAAGGAATAAGAGAGAGGGATGTGGGGAGAGGGTGCGGGGGCGGGGGGGGAGGGCAATGAGGTCTCTCCATTGGCACATGTTGCAGGGAGGGGGCTCACTCCCACAGGAGGGGATAGCCCAGCCCAGCACCTTTGCCCTGGGCCCCAGGCCCTGCCTGACCCTGCCCAGCCCAGTGACAGGTTTAGGGCCAGGAGCTGACTGAGCAGACCGGGTAAAGGCCAGCCCAGCCTAGATAAGGCTGATGGGTGAGGAGTCTCAAGGCCAAGGGATTGAGCCCGTGACCAATAAACAAGGGAGGGGTCTGTGAAAGGCCCCCCATCCCCAGAGAGTCATCAGTGCCAAGCCTGATGCCCTGGGCACTGGGTACCTGCCCCTCTGCTGCAGAGTGCTCTGGCCCGGCCTACACCTTGGAGGCCAGGGAGAAAGGGAAAGCCCAGCCTCGCCGCCCAGCCCTGCCAGGAGTCCCCCGCACCTACCTCTGAGGCTGGGCTGCCCTCTGCCGAGCTCTGCTGGGGTGCAGGCTCCAGGGATCGCAGGGTGCCATCCTCTGACACCTGGGACTTCTCCGTCAGCTTCTCAATGCCTGCAGGGTGGGGTGGGGAGCCGTGAGGACTCCTGCCACAGTGCTCCTCCTAGAAAGCCTCTGCCTGGGGCCGGCCCTGAAAGTCTCCAACTTCCCCCCACTTCACAGATGCTGTGCCTGACCCCCCCACGCTCAGCCCCGAGGCCCGGTCCCCCCACCAAGCTGTCCCTCCCGGGCCCCCCGTACCTCCACCCCCACCCTTGCCGCCACTGCACAGCACCCTGCCCCTCGCCAGCACCAGACCTGGGGTGGCCACCAGGCTGGCCTTGAGGGTGCCCGGCTCGGCGGGGGCAGCGGGGTGGGAGCCCTCCATGGAGACGCCCTCCTGTGAGCTGGTGCGGGACAAGGTCTCGGGCGCCCGGCGGCGCCGCTGCAGCGCCTTGTGGATGGTGGGCGGGTCGGTGGGCAGGTTGGCCAGCTGGTGGAAGACGCTGCGCTTTCGGATGATGGCGTAGACCAGGTTGGAGTTGCCTGTGGGGAGGAAGCGTGTCTCAGGGAGGCCCCCTTGCCACCCCCTTCACCTGGGTGTCTTCCTGGGAGGGGGAGTTTGGAGGACAGGAGGGGAAGTCTACCGCAGGGGAAGGCGACAGCACAGGGCACAGAAGAGAGGGAGCCAGGCAGAGCTGGCGTCGGGCGGCGTATGTGGTCTGAGGCTACACCGGGATGCTACCTTTCGAGAAAAGAGCTTCTGGGCTGAGCTCCGCACCTGCCCCTCCCTGGTACCTTCCGGACCCTCTCACCACCCAGCACTAAGGGGTAACAGCTGGCAGAGTGGGGCGGGCGCAGCGTGTCAGTGTCCCACCAAGCCAGCTGTTCAATATTTTGACTGTCCCCCAAGTCAGGTCACCGGGAAGAAGGGCGATATGGGCTGAACGCCCTTGACTCCCAGGGAGATAAAAGACGCTTTTCTGGGCCTTCATTGCCCCATCCCCCGCTCTGGTCCCTGCCTCTCACCACCCTGCTCTGCTTCCCCTTCAACACATCTCACCCCAGGGCCTTTGCATATATTGTGCTCCCCCCATGTTTTTCTACCCCTCCCCACACCCATTCATCCCTCATAGATCAGTGCAAATATTACTTATTTGGGAAATAATAACTGCTGCCATTTAGTTCACCAGGCAAGTGCTGAGTGCTTTTTGGGATTATTTTACTTAATATTCTCAATACCCTCTGAGATGGAGACTCTGGGAATTATCATTATGACCAACTTACAGATGAAGAAACTGAGGCTCAGAGAGGTTATGTGCACACAGTCACAGAGCTAAGTGGCAAGGCCCTAACTGACACCAGGCAGCCCAGCATCTGTGACACCCAGCAGGACCACGCCACTCTGCACTTCCCTCTCAACAGATTTAAGATGGCCTGTTTGTCTGGGTGACCATCTGTTTGAAGTCCCCCTCCATGCTCCCTCCCCAGCTATGGGCCTCACGGGGCAGAGAGCACTCTGCTTTGTTCCCCAGTGAACCCCCTGCACCTGGCACAGGGTTTGGTATGCAGTAGGTGCTCAATAAATGCACCCTGGGCAAACAAACACGGGGGTGGAGGGCTGTGCCCTCCTCAGATGGGGAGGTGTCCTCGCCCACTGCCTACTCTGGTTCCTGCCCCCAAGGCCAGGCCAGGGGCTTGGACCGGTGCCTCACCGTCAAACTGGTACTGGATGATGTTGTTGAAGACCTCCAGGAGGAAGAAAACCAGGTGGTGGTTCTGGGCGGCAGAGAAGAGGAACCAGGTGGTGGAGAAGGCCTCCAGCAGGTGCAGCAGCTTGTTGGCGGCCACCATGGACAGGCTCTTGAGGTAGGGGGACACTGCAAGGGAGGGGTCGGCTCACTCCTGGGGCCCCCGCCAACCACCCCAGCACATCCTGGGCCTGGGTGGGTCACAATGCTCCTGCTCCCACACCCTCCCTGCCCCCTGCCTGTGAAGTCCCCCGAAAAGTCAGGAAGACCAAGCGCCACAGGCTAAAGCCACACTGGCCATGCCTCCTGCAGAGCCCCAGGGCTCCACCCTGGCCCCTCCCCTGTGGACAGCCGCGCCATTTACAAAGCCACTCACACACTCCATCTCCCCCACTCCTCCCCGCATCTGAGAGGGAGGTGGACAGAGAGGAGACTGTCCCCATTTTACAGATGAGGAAACTGAGGCTCAGAGAGGTTCATAAATTTGTCCAAAGTTCTCCAGTTATAAAATGACTGGGCAGGGATACAAACACAGGATCTTTAACTCTTTCTAGAACATCAAGCTGGGAATTCCTTGGCGATCCAGTGGTTAGGACTCCGAGCTTCCACTGCAGGGGGCCCAGATTCGATCCCTGGTCAGGGAACTAAGATCCCACAAGCTGCACAGTGCAGCCAAAAACTAAAAATATTATTTAAAAAAATTTTAATAGAATATCAAGCTGATATTCCACATATAATTAGATAGAGATTTTCTGCACAGCCTGTGAAGGGGGAGTCAGAAGTGCGAGGCTGCACACGGCTTGAAGTCACAGATTGATCTGTGTGCTTCCTTGCCCTGTGTCTTTCTCCCTCAGGATGGGGCAGGGTTGGTGGCTATCTTGTTCACAAATGCATTCTCAGTGAAGATTTGTGGGGTGGAGCCAGTGATGGAAGGTGAGATTCTGGCCCCAGAACTCACAGTCCAACAATGCAGCTAGAGGTCGCCAAGGCCGTACAACATCCCACCCACCCTGGAGTCCAAACCGGACCACGGAGAAGTCAGCCCCTCCCATTCAGGACCTTCCTCTGCAAAAAGCAGCCGCGCGGAAGTCATGCCGCCCCAGCCCTGGGCCCCGACCTTGCTGGGTCCAGCGCCCCTGTCAGCCTGAGCCCCCTCCCAGCTCGGAGGCAGCCATCTACAGCCCTTGCTTGTGGGCGGGGCCCTCATCCAAACCTGCGCAGTCCAATACCTCAGCCGCAAGCCACATGTGGCCATTAAGTGCTAGAAACGTAGTCCTAATGGATGTGTGCTGCACACATGGAACACACACAAGATTTGAAAGACTGGATTCAAAAACGAATGTAGAACATCTCAATAATTTTGTATTCTGGTTACATATTAAGATGATGGTATTTTGGATACAACAGATTAAATTAAATACATAATAAAATTATTGTCACCTCTCTTTTTCTTTCCTTCTTCCTTTTTAATATGGCTACTAGAAAACTGACCAGTACATACTTGGCTGCCCTAATATTTCTACTGTACCCAGCCTGGTTTGAGCCAGCGGCAGGTCAGCCTGTGGCCTGGCGCCCCCTGGTGGTGAGCATGGGGAAGGCGGGCTCTGGGCCCCCCTACCGTTGACGACGATGGTGAGCAGACAATCGAAGAGGGGCTGCAGCCGCTGGTGCCCGCTGGTGATGATCTTGTGGAAAACCTGTGCGGGGAGGCAGAGGAGCAGCCATGGGGTCCCTGCCGCCTCCAGACTCAGCCGAGGGGACGTTACACCACACCCCCAGGTCCTGACGGGAGCTCCCTCACCACAATGAGCAGGTCGGCGTGGGTGCCGGTGAAGACCGGGATGTCCATGGGCACACGCACTGAGTAGGGCTTGTTCAGCCGCACCCCGAAGTTCCGTTCGCCGCTCAGAAGCAGCAGGATAAAGACGCCGATGTGCATCAGGCCCACCCGAGCTGCGGCACGTGGCATGGGAGGGGTCACCACGCTGGGTGGGGAGGGGAGGAAAGGAGCCCAGGGCAGGGACCCATCTTGGGGGTAAAGGGAGAAGCCCTTCCCGGGAGGTCGGGGCACCAGGCCTGAGCCGCTGGGGGGCAGGACAGACTGGCCGAAACTGCCCCTCCGCAAGGAACCCCCCAGGGACCCTCAGGCCACCCCAGCCTTACACTGATCGGCTCGGGCATCGTTGAGGAAGTGGAGAATAGGCACCAGGATATCCAGCACATCGCTGCTCTTCAGCACAAAGAAGAGGAATTTCTGGGGGGAGGCAGACACAGATGGGCAGAGTCAGGGGGAGGGGCAGCCCTGCCCCACCCTCTCTCCCTCTGCCGGGAGTCTCCCCAGACGCTGTCCCCATCCCTGAGGCAGACCACTGCCCTCCAGCCTGGGCCCCCGAGGCCGACCCACCTTGTTGAAGTCGCAGAGCTTCCAGAAGAGGACCAGCAACTCCTGGTGGAACTGGATCTTCTTGGTGGAGTTGGGCAGGTAGGTCTGGAGCAGGGGGTTGGAGAGCAGCCGGGCTATGCCCTTGAGGATGAACTGGAAGTCCTGGGTGGGGGAAGGACAGGGGCCTGTCCAGTCCGGCTCCCTACAATCCAGGCTTCCTGGCCAGGCCTCCCACAAATGCCTCCGAGCCCCCCAGGGCCTGACCCCATCTCTAGAGCCGCAGGGGCCCGGATGCCAGTGTCATCAACAGCTGTCCTGGGGGCAGCCCCTCAGAAACTGGGTCCAGGGCAGGTCTAGAGAGCACTCTGCCCCTCCGCCAGGCCACAGGCTCCCCATCTGCTCTTAGTGACCTCCTCACGTGCACACTGGACTCCTGCCCACCTGGACTCCTTGCTGACAGGTGACATCCTTCCACCCCTCCCCATCGCCCTGTGACACGTGAGGTGCATTGTATCCTCAGAGAGCTGTCATTGACTGAGCAGCTGCTGCCTGCTGGACTGTGCTCTCAACCAATCCTCACTACAAGGCACGGGCACAGTTACTGTCCCCATGTCATAGCTGCAGAGGTTAGAGCTCTGGGAGCACAAGAACCTCCCCCAAGGTCACGAGACACAGGAACTCAGGTGTGACTGGCCTTTCCGTCCACTGTCATTCCCCCACCAAACCTGACATCAGAGCCACCTCCTCCTGGAAGTCTTCCCGGCTACCCTCACCCAGTTGAGGCCATCAGCCCTTTTCTGAGTCTCAAGACCCTCGCAGTCCTGCCATCACTTCACCTGTGGTGGCCTGAGTCCACGGGGACCGTGGTCCCTTCATGTAGGGGTCAGGACTCTCCCTACCCCCATCTCATCTGCATCCCCTCACACCCTGCAAGGCCACAACCTTTGTGGAGGGTGGGCATCAAGAACCCACAAGAGCAAGAGCATCGTTGGACTCACCTCCTCGCGATGGATGCGGGACAGGTAGTTCACAAACAGGTTCTCGGGCCCTGGAGGCTGCGGAGGGCGGAGCCTGGGGTGAGCATGTGCCTTCACCCCCTGCCCCTACCCCAGGCCTAGGCAGTGCAGCAGTACCCCCTCTGACCCCAGATACCCCCACGAGGTGCCCACTGGATATCCTTTGCCCAGCTCCGCTAGAGGGGGTGCCACCCGCCCACAGCGTGGCAGGGCTGGCTGCCCTCCCTCTCCTGTCCTTACGTCAGCATCATCCATGGCCGTGCCTGTGGTGGTACCGTCCACGGTGGGCGTGGCGCCGTCATGGTCCAAGCTGACAATGAGCACTTGAGCAGCCTCCTCCACCAGGGGTTCCCGGTGGTCAGAGAAGAGCAGGTGGTTGTAGGGGATCCCGTAGCCCACAGGGTCATAGGCACACACGGTGTTGAGGAGGGAGGTGAAGAGGGGCAGGGCGTGTCTGCGGCAGGAGAGGAGGGGCGGGGCTTCAGAGACCCCACCCACCAGCCCAGCCCTCCCTCCGGCCCCAGCCGTGGCCAGGTGGGAGGGTCAGCCAGGCCAGCCCCCTCATTCCACAAGGGTTTCAGGGCCAGGCCCCCATCTTCGGGCCAGGGAGCAGAACCAGGAGTTCATCCCTTCCCACGAAGGAGAGACCCCTCCTCATCCTTGCCTGCATCTGGGACCCAGGCCAGGCTGGGCCAAGGCCAGAAGGAATTTATTACCAAGAGTGGGATGGCCAGTCCTGAGGGGCTCTTTGTAGGATAGCGTGCCCACACCCCTTAGACTTTCACCTCCAGGGGTTGAAGCCTATTGTTTTTTTTAAATTCATTTAAAAATTTATTTATTATTTATTTATTTATGGCTGTGTTGGGTCTTCGTTGCTGCGCGTGGGCTTTCTCTAGTTGCGGCGAGCGGGGGCTACTCTTCGTTGCAGTGCGCGGGCTTCTCACTGTCGTGGCTTCTCTTCTTGCAGAGCACGGGCTCTAGGCGTGCAGGCTTCAGTAGTTGTGGATCGCGAGCTCTAGAGCGCAGGCTCAGGAGTTGTGGCTTGCGGGCCTAGTTGCTCTGCGGCATGTGGGATCTTCCCAGGCCAGGGCTCGAACCCGTGTCCCTTGCATTGGCAGGCAGATTTTTAACCACTGCGCCACCAGGGAAGCCCTTTAATTATTTTTTAAAATACTTTTTAGAGCAGTTTTAGGTTCACAGCAAAATTGAGAGGAAGGCACAGAGATTTCCCCCGTGTACCCTCTGCCCCAACACGTGCACAGTCTTCCCCACTATCGACATCCCCCACCAGGGTGGTACACTTGTTACAACTGTAGACCCTACATCGACATATCATTTTCACCCAAAGTCCACAGCTTACATCAGGATTCACTCTTGTTTTTGTTTTTTTCGGCCACACCACAGCTTGTGGGATCTTAGTTCCCCGATCAGGGATTGAACCTGGGCCCTCAGCAGTGAAAGCACTGAGTCCTAACCACTGGACCGCCAGGGAAGTCCCCAGGGTTCACTCTTGGTGCTGTATGATCTACAGGGTTGGGCAAATGTATAAAGGACATGCCCCTGATGTTTTTGAGGGGCAGGTACCCTTCCTTGGGGCTTCAGAGAAGGGTTGGAGGGCCCACAGGGAAGGCGGGCTTCCCCTTGGGAGGCAAAGCATGTGCCCCATCCCCCAGCCCCCAGGCCACAGAATGACTCCGTTCAGAGATTTGTAAGACATCAGAGGTCAAGCTCCTCATCTTACAGATGAGGAAACTGAGACCCAAGGGGGTTAATCAAGTGGCAAAGGTGGCCATTTGCCCCATAATGCTGGTGAGAAAGAGAACTCTGGCCAGCTTTTGACTGTGCCTGGCGGAGGGAGTCACCTGGGTTCTTGCTCCTTCTGGGAGCTGGGGGCTGGGGTGGGGGAAAGGGGCAGGCAGCCAGCAAAACCTGAAGGATGAGGCCTGCCATGTGGGAATCAGAGTCTAGAAGAGGGTGAACCATGACACTGAGGGGCACTAACCCCTGTGCAGCCAGCGCAGCCCTGGGCACAGCTGGAGCTGCACAGCTGGAGCGTGTGTACCTGCTCTAAATACTCAATCCAGCCATGGGACACCTCCATGTGCTCCTATGGCCCCCACTGCCCATAAATGCCCCCATGTGGGCGGGGCTTCCCCACCCTTCAGGCTTCCCCACCCTTCACCCCTCTCCACCCACTGAATAAACTGCACTTCCCCGGGGAATTCCCTGGCGGCCCAGTGGTTAGGACTCGGTGTTTTCACTGCCGAGAGCCCGGATTCCATCCCTGGTTGGGGAACTAAGATCCCGCAAGCCCCGCAGTGCGGCCAATAAAAATAAGATAAAATAAACTGCACTGCCCAATACAAGCTACATGTAGCTATGGAGAGCTTAAAATGTGGCTGGTCTGAAGTGAGATGTGCTGTGAATGTAAACTAAACACTTGATTTTGAAAACTCACTATGAAAAGGGAATGCAAAACATTTCAATAATTTTGTATAGTGATTACATGTTAAATGCTAATATTTCAAATATATTGGGTTAAATGAAATACATTATTAAAATTAATTTCACCTATTTCTTTTTTATTTTTAAAGGTCGCTACTAGAAATGTTTAAGTTGCATGTGTGGTTCACATTATATTTCTACTGGATAGCAGGGCTCTAGATGGAGGACCCAGGCATGGGTCATCCAGGGCCCCCCCAATGGGACATGGGACAGAGCTGGCGTAAGGTGTGACTGTTCTTATAGGTCATCACCACAAGAGGGCAGCACATCCCCTCAAATAAGACTCACAGGGCTGGCAAAGGGCTTCCGCGCTGGGCTGCCTGGAACCAAGAGGAGAAATGGAAAGAAAGGCCAGGGGCCCCTCACCTGTTCTCTGTGGAACAAAAAAACTGCACCCATGGATTGACGCTGCTGCTGTCTGGAGCTGGGGGCAGGTACATGGCCTCAGAGAAGCATGTCAGCAGCAGTTTCAGCAGCTCCATCCTTGGGCAGGGAGGACAGAGGAGAGGGTTCAGTACCTGAGGACCGCAGTTCTCCTGTAGGAGGGCGCGCCCACCCTGCCCCGCCCCAGCTCAGGTCCATGAAAAGAAATGACTCCATTTTATCCCCGTGAGGCTGAGTTGGGTCACGAGCGGGCAGGGTCTCCTTGGAAGACCCCACGCGTGGTTCCCTCTCTGAACTGTGCAGGGGGCCAGGCCTGGGGGCTAGTTACTTTCTGAGCAAGCTCACCGGTTCATGTCGTGGTTGTAGTTGGGCTGCGGGGAGTGAGCAAAGCCCACACCAGCCTCCCAGATGTATTCACAGCTGTCCAGAGAGTGGATGTCCTCCGCCGAGTCCTGGGGACAGGGTCAGGGAGAGATCAGGCCAACCCAAGCCCCCCGCTATCCTTGGGGGCAAAGACCCTCATATTCTCCTAAAGACTGACCCTCAAAATGCCCCAGGTGCTAATGCACATGGGAAGAAATGAATGTTCTCAACCTCTTGAAAGCTCCTTTTCCTTCAGTCTGGTACTTGCTCAATCCAGTTTGAGACAGGGAGAGAGAGACAGGGAGGGAGCAGAACGGAATCAGGTGCCCCTGGTGGTGCGTGGGAGTGGGGGACAGAGAACAGTCAAGGTCCAGTCCACGGGCCCACGGGCAGTGAGAGGGCCAGGGCTCCTGTGTGTAAGCCCCACTCCTCCACCCACGGCCCAGGCCAAGACAATGGGTGCTTGTGCCCGACCTCCTGGATGCAGCGGGCAGGGCCGGGCACCAGCTGGCTCCCCTCCAGCCGTGCCAGCCACCGCCTCCTCCCCGGGACCATGCGTGCCAGGCAGCCCAGCCTTCCTGGAGCAGCCCCTGCCCAAGGGAATTTCAAGCGGCCCCAACCTGGGACCAGAGCCCTCCTCAGCCCGGGGGGCGGGGATTGGGGGGCTCTCACCACGGTGCTCCTCCGGTGGCTCTGGACGGTGAAATCTGGGCAGAAGAGCAGATCAGCGACGGCCAGGAGCAGGGACTCGGCCAGGGGCCGCGCGTTCTCCTCATCGTCCTCTCCCTGCTTGGGACAAAGCGCCTATAGGCCCCCTCAGTCGTAGCTGGCTAAGGAGAGGTGGCCCCAGGACTTGGAGGGGGGATGGGAGGAGGACGGGGTCTGGGCCCAGGCAGACACTCGCGGGCAGAGGGATGGAGGAAGAGGTGGGAGAAGGAACAGGAAGTAAACCCCTAATCACCCCAAACCTCCCAAGGCAGAAGCGGGACAGAGTGGGGAGCGGGGCTGGGACCAGTGAGGAGACCTTCCCACTGACTGGGAGGGGACAGGTGAGTCCCCTAAACTCTAGAGCCTCAGCCCTGCTGGGAATCACTGCCCACCTCCCCACACCCCTGTCAGTTGCTTGGACAGAAAGCCAGGGAGGGGGTGGCGCAGCGGGGGGGAGGGCCCAGCTGCCCTGCCCCCACCTCTGCCCAGCTGTAGAGGCAGAGACCCCCATGGGAGAGAAAGCAGGGGCTCGAGGAGGAAGAGCTGGCCCCCCTCCTCAGCAGCACCCGCACTGCCCCTACATCTGCCCTTTCCAAACCCCAGAAGAGGTCTGGAGGAATGTGGCTGGCCCTGAAGGGGTTCCTTCCCTGTCACCACAACTCCACCTCCCGCCCAGCCCCGGCCAGGTCCACAGACCGCTCCTCGCCCGGCCCCGGGCACTGTGGACCAGAAGAAGCCCCTCCAGTCAGGGTCCTCAAAGATGTAGGGCAGCACGCGGGTGAGCAGCCGGCTGCAGTTCAGGACAATCTGCTTCTCCTTCTCCGAATGGCAGCCGCTCTCAGCTCCCTGCACCAGCTTCTCAACAGCCTGCGAGGATGGGCAGAGAGGCACGCTGGCAGGGTGGGGAGTGGGGCCCTGGCACTTGGGGTCAGGCTGGGCACCCCAGGCTTCAGAGGGGGAGAGACAGTGGGGCCACCCTACCAGACCGCCTCTCCAGACAGGATCAGCCAGCCCAGGAGGATGGGACGTGGGCCAGGGAGCAGCCTAGAGCATCCTGGGAGCGAGACCCAGCCCACCACTCACTGGCTGAGACCTTGCTAAGCGACCAGCCATCTGGCCCTCAGTTTCCTCATCTGTAAAATGGCGACATTGACAGTACCAACCGCACAGGTGAGCTACATAAGCTGACCTCTGGTAAGCGTCACCCACGGGCAGCCCTCACAGGTGGCACTGGCACCATCACTTCCCCCAGAGCCCAGCCAGGGGGAGAGGAGGATGAAGACTTGGGGCCACTCCAGCCTGGGTGGAGGACTTCCCGGGTGCCTGCCCTCTTGGACCGGGGCCGGGCCAGCTCCAGCCTCGCTGGGAGGGTGGGGAATACTCAGGTGGGAGTGGCAGTGAGGGCCCGGGCGCCCTTCACCTTGTAGCACAGAGTGGCCAGGTTGGAGGGCGACTCCTCTCGCACTGCCCGGATCTCCGCTGCTGGCACCAGTGCAAAGACATCCTGCACCGAGGTGGCCGTGTCCGCCCAGAACTGGTCCCAAAAGGCGTCATCAGTGGCTTCCACGGGCTGTGGGGAGATGCAGTGTCCAGAGCTGCACGGTCTCTTGCCAGCAGGTCCACAGTTTGCTACCCTGTAGCCAAGGGAGCCCCCGAAAGGGAAGCCCCCTACTCCATCCCTGCTGGTGCCAGGAGCCTTCCCACATGGGAGACATCCTTCAGCCACCATGAGCCCCGGCTGGCACAGGCAGGCTGGGGACACTTGACACAGATGGCCAGGGGCCAGCCGGACACTGAATCCAGTAGCCAAATCCCAGCCCAGTCCCTGAGGGACTGTGTGACCCTGAGTAACTCACCATCCCCCTCTGGCAGGCCCTCCCCACCTGGGGGCCTCCCCAGGCCACACCCCTAAGTCAAGCGCCCAGGGACCAGAGCCAGGCTGTGCCCCTCCCCCTGGGAAGAAGACAAGGGGACACACATGCTCATTTCCACTCACCCAGGCTGCCCCCTCGGCCCCAGCCTCCACCCTCTGCTGGTATATACCCAACAGATGCCAAATCTAAAGGAGTCATCCCACGGCTCTCTGACAACACCTGCTCCTCTCAGTACCCACCACCTGTGCTACAGTTCAGGCCACTCTTGCCAGGGCCCCACGTCCAATTTCACCCTCTCAATCCCACCTCCACGCTGCCCCCAACACGCATTCAAAACACAGCACCAGGGCTTTCCTGGTGGCGCAGTGGTTGAGAGTCCGCCTGCCGATGCAGGGGACGCAGGTTCGTGCCCTGGTCCGGGAAGATCCCAAATGCCGCGCAGCGGCTGGGCCCGTGAGCCATGGCCACTGAGCCTGCGCTCCGCAACGGGAGAGGCCACAACAGTGAGAGGCCCGCGTACCGCAAAAAAAAAAAACAAAAAAAAAAACACAGCACCAAAGGCATTGTTCCCGCAACAAAGATCTTAGGGCTCCCCACTGCCTGCAGAGTCCAGACCTCGGCCAGAGAGTCAGCCGAGATCACACCTCAACACACATAGAAGCCACACACGTGCACGTACACATACATGGACACATGTACATACACAAGTGTGCACAGGTATATGTGTGCACACACACCTGTATTTACTATCCCAACAACACAACCCTGCCATATTTTCTCTTTGCCTTTGCTCAGACTGTCCCCTCTTCCCAGCACGCCCGCCCCTTCTAACACATCCCAAAGTCCCACCGGTCCTATCAAGGCAACATGCCTTCAACACACGTATGCCTTTTAAGTTATATAGTCGGTCATATAGACAACCAATTTGAATCATGAACTCCACTTCTAGAAATCTTTCCTAAGGAAATGATCTGAGAAGTGCAGGTATGAGGATGTTTACTGAAGAGTTGATAACAGCGAAAAGTTGGAATCAACCTAAATAACCAACAATTGGGGAAATGCTTGAAAAGTTAAGGCACCGGCATACGGTGGAATATTACACAGCCATCGGAATCACGTCTTCAAAGAATATGAATGAATGGAAAATGCTCACAGTACAATGTTATGTGAAAAAGGCAAGATATAAAACTAACTATAGGGGACTTCCCTGGTGGTGCAGTGGTTAAGAATCCGCCTGCCAATGCAGGGGACATGGGTTCGAGCCCTGGTCCGCGAAGATCCCACATGCCGCAGAGCAACTAAGCCCGTGCGCCACAACTACTGAGCCCATGTGCCACAACTACTGAAGCTCGCATGCCTAGAGCCCGTGCCCCACAACAAGAGAAGCCACTGCAATGAGAAGCCCGCGCACCACAACGAAGAGTAGCCCCCTCTCGCCGCAACTAGAGAAAGCCCGCGCGCAGCAACGAAGACCCAACGCAGCCATAAATAAATAAATAAATAAATAAATTTATTTTAAAAAAAAACCTAACTATAGGATGATCACAATTTTGTGTTAAATTATACAGGAATAAAAGCCTAGAAGAAAATGACAGAATGTCAACAGCAATTATCTCATGGGGTGGTTATTCTTTTCTTTATATTTTTCTGTAAGCGCACGTATTACTATTTTTTCCTTTTGAATGTTCATCTGTTTGAGGGGCGTCCAAGACACTCTTACTCTTCTGAATAGCACTTCCTGCAAGAGATCTTCCTGGGTTGCTCCAATCAACCTAGACTTTTGCCTTCTCTGAAAGGGCTGATAATGGGGCCCTGCTACCCCACCACAAACCCGCATGCAATATGCATCAGTCTTACCATCAGAAAAAAATATGAATCTTGTTAAAAAATAATTCTGTTCTCTGAAGCCGCTTCTTCCAAGAAGTCTCCCAGAGCTTGGACCAGCGGGCTCCCTCCCACCTTGGAAGCCCCCTCAGTCACTCATAGTCCCCAGCAGGTCTGGGTGCGCTTGCCTGGAGGCCCCACTAGTCCATCAGCCCTTCTTCCCTGACCGTGCACTTGAGGCATGTGGCAGACACTCAGCCAATATTTGTTCAGCCAAAGGCTGTAATTAGTCCTAGAGAGAGATCCCTTCAGCCCCGCCATGGGGCTGAGCTGAGCGCCAGTGGGGCTGCCCAAACTCAGGCCTGGCCACAAGCCTCCCCAGGGTCCAGGTTTACCCTAGCCCACCCCCCAAACGATGCCCCCCTCTGAGGTACAGGGCAGCATGTGGCCATGGCCTTCAGAGCAGGCCTGGCACCAGGACGTGCTCAGTCCCAGAACTGGTAGAGCGAGTTAGCCGGCAGAGAGGAACAAAGACCAAAGGAGGGTCCCTGGGGCTGGGGTTTGCTGGCCCACATGCCCTCAGTCCAGACAGCTCTCTGACACTCACTGAGATCCAGGGGAAACACATCCCCATGTGGGTGGCCGGGGTGGGAGTGGGGAAGGAACATCCCAGAAAACGTGCAGAGCCCCCCACCATCTGGGAACACCCCTGGGATGCCACCTTCCCCACCTCCCACGTAGCCACTACCCCCTTAAAGGGGCAGACACTCATCAAGTGGAGTTGACCTCTGACCTAGTTCATCAGGTAAGTGTCACCTGGGGATTGAATTCAAAATGAGGAGAGAGCCTTGGGAGGGAACTTGGGAGGCCCCAGGGCAGCCCAGACCTGAAGCAGATGAAAGTCCCAGCTCTGGGAGCCGGCCTTGAACTTCAGGAGTGAAGACTTTCACCTCCCCCACCCCCAGCTTGGGCCTCCCTTCCTGGTCCCAGCTGTGGCTCAGACACTTCAGTCTGGTGACCATTACCTGACCATATACCAGGCTAACCTGATGCTACGGGTACTGCCAGGGTCACTGGAACTTTTGTTGGAGGGGGGACATGGCTTAGCCCCTGCCTCAGTTACCCAAGCTGGGCTCCACCCAACGCAAGGAAGCTTCTAAAATCCAAGCCAGTTTCTTTGCTGGAGGTGGGCAGGCCCATGCTGCCAGGGGCACTGAGCTACCCTGGTGGGAAACCAGATATTCTTAGCATAGCTTTACCAGGACCTGCTCAGGCCAAAGCCCCTGCCAGCCTGGGGGACCAGCTGCATCTTTTGAACCTCTCTGGTGGTGGGGAGAAGGGAAGGACCAGCAATGCTCTAGCCTGCTAAGAATGACCTGTACCGGAGGACTGTGTCACAACGGCATTCACACACACGTACACGTGCAAACATGTAAACATGGACCCACCCGGTATCATCTGACCTGTGGCAAACAATCTCCAAATGGGCAGGATCTAGGCGAGGGTCCCAGGTCCAGGAATGTGCCCCCGCCAGGGCCCCACCCACACCAGGAAAGGCTCCGGAAACACAGCCAAAGCTGCTGGCCCTCAGGACCAGGGTCAGGCCTAGCCCGAGGCAGGAAGAAAACAGGATGCAGCACAGGAAGGCAGGGAAGGCCGAGTGGTGGCAGCTCCGGCCCAGGCCACGGGAAAAGGTGCTGGGTCGGTTTGTCTGCTGCCCAGAGCAAAAATCTGTGGTCACAGCACAGCCTCTGAAGGCCTGGGACAGGAGGACACCTTGTGGACACAGCTGGCCTGAATCTCCTTGGGGACACCGAGTGGCAAGGTCTGGAAACACCATCTCGGATCTGGTCCCGTCTCTTGAGCTGCCCAAGCCAGGTCACTACACAGGGCAGGTGGCCTCATTCCTGAGGGTCTCTCCCTCCAGGCAGCCCAGGCCCCCTCCCACCTGCAGGGCCCTCCAGAGGGAGACCCAGGCTGGTCTCTGGCTCCAGTCCTGTCCCAAGCCAACTCACTGTCCCCACCCAGCTGGGAAACGAGACAGCACCATCTCAGTCAGCCCTGTCACAGGGCCACAGCCAGGGAAAGATGGAGGCACACTGTATTTTGGGGAGGGGACCGGAGCATGTAGGACTCTTGTCCACGCAGATCCTTTGGGACGTGGCCCTGCTGGCCTGGCAAAGGACCCTGGCTGCTGAGGCTAGAGCCCATACCTCATTCCTCCAACAAGGTGTTTCCCCCACCCAGGTAGGTAAACATGGAGGCCTCCCTCCCTTCCTCTCCCTATGGCCCTGCACTGAGAGGCTGGCCCACCTGCCACCCTCAGATCTAGCAGCCCCATGCCAAGAAAGCCAAGCGCCAGAAATAACCAGGAGCCATGGGGGAAGTGGCGAGAAGCAAGGCCTGGTTTCTATCAAACGCCTCTCAGCTGGGGCTGGACTCTCCGGAGGCCCCGGCTGTTTGCCGGGCTCCTGACCTTTCTCTTGTGGGATCGAGAGTGTGGGACCAGAGGTCTGGCCTCTGGAGCTGTGACCAGCTGGCTGTGGGGAAATGGCTCCCCTGAACCCACTCTAATTGCCTAGAGCCAGAGACAGCCCTGGGGGCGGGGGTAGGAGGAAAGTCCCAGATGGCGGCAGGTCCTGACTCCCTTGAAAGCGGGGGATCTGAGGAGTGAGAGCTGGGCATCTCTGTGGCCAGAGCAGCCTGGCTCAAAGAGTGAGGAGAGAGGGGTGGGCAGGGAAGAAGCCTTGCTGGGGCCAGGTCCTTGTGCTGGGGGCAAGGAGGTGGCCTCTGTGCCACTTGTGGACTCAGGGGAGTGTGCAAGCATGGCCTAGGGTGAAAGATACCCTCAGGTATCAAGGGCAGCCTGGACCGTTCTTAGCCCTGACCCAGAGAACAGAGGGTACCTGCAAACACAGCCAACCCCACCGCTGGGCCTCAAAGGGGGAGCCCCCTGGAGCAGTGGTCCCCAGCTGGGAACCTGGATTCCATAGATCTGGGAGTAGGTCCCCTTGCCAGGCTGCAGCGCTGCCCGCCACTCTGCGTGTTCCCAGCAAGACCTGGGCCTTCCCTGGCCGTGGGCATCGACCTGGGCCCAGCGAGGCCGCTGCCGCTGCCGCGAACCAGCTGTTCAGCGGATCCGGGAGGGCGCCGGCCGGCTTTGTTTGCACTGAGTCCGCCGGGTCTGTGCCTCCGGCACCCGCAGGCACCGGGGGGCAGGGAGGGGAGCAGGGAGGTGTTTCGGGGCGGGGAGGAGGCTGGGGATGCGAGGCTGGAGGGGCTTGGGGGGGTGGACAGAGGGGCGGACAGCGGCGACGCCGGCTTGGAGAGTAGGCACACGTCAGCCTAAGGTGGCAGCAGCAGCTGCGGGAAAAGGGATGTTCCCGGGAGAGAAGGCCGGGGGTGGGGGCTAGGGGATGGAGCCCTGGGATACAGGCCAAGGGGTCTCGTTCCGGCCCTGGCCTCAGCGTCACCCTCCTGGCCATCTGGTCCCCCTATCTCCCGGCAAGCCAAGCTCTTGCAGCCCCCCCAGCCCTGCCCAGCCCCCAGCCCGGCAGGTGGGTGGGAGGCCGGGGCCCCGGGCGCACCTGCGTCTTGGTGGTGAGCTGGATCACCGCCTTTCGGAAGTTCAGCTTGGAGTCCGCCGACCCCATATCGCTGAAGCCCGCTCCGGCCCGGCCCTTGCCCTGACTCCCGCCCGGGCCCCGGCTCGGTATCCAGCTCCAGCTCCGCGGGCCCAGCTGCTCTCGCAGGAGCGGACCGGCGCACCCCGCCCGCTCGCCCGGCGTCGACCCCGCCCCCTCCTGGCTCCTCCTCTCCGGGCTCCGCCCCCCGCACCTGCCGCTCCCGGCACGCCCATTCCCGGCTCCTGGGGTCTGCCCCTCCGATCCACTGCTGCCCCACTCCCCGGGTCCTTCCCAGCCGGGCCGGTTGCCTCTGCGACCTTTCTTCTGCGTGGCAGCGTTATCCCCCCTCGGTCTCTCCCATTTCCACCCAGCCCCCGGGGCCCGCAACCCTCCCAGCCTCCCGTCCCCTGCCCCCATCCTCACCATTGGTCCCCACGCCATCACTGGGCCCACACTTTCAAAGCCAGCCCTCTCCAGTTTCTTCCTTGTCAGTCCCTGTACTCGCATTCTGAGCATCCTCTCTTTTAGTTCCCCTTTTTCTGACTTGTCAAACCCACATATCCAGACGGCCCGGCTGTTATTGCAGTCACAAGCCCTCAGCCTTCCGTTCTGTGGAAGAGAAGCCCTGATTCAGTGCCCCTGCTCCAAGAAAGCAGCTCCGCGGTCTAATGAGAGCGAGAGGTCCCTCCGAGTCCCACAACTCCTTTCTGGCCACCTGTGTTCCCTGAGAACCCTTTTAGGTTCATCCATTTCAACAAATAGGTTGAGGGACTGGTATTTACCAACACTGTGTCAGGGGCGGGGGCAGAGGGGGCTTAAGTAACAGGGTCTGCCCTTTAAGAGCAATTAGCTAGGGAGAGAAACAAGGAACGAATTAGCCATGGTTCAGCCCAATGGGGCTTTGATAGAGACAAATTAATAATAATAATAATAATAATAGTGACAACAACATCTCTTACACAACAAAAACCTACCTCTGAGATAGGTATTATACCCATTTTACACTAGGGGAAACTGAGGCTCAAAGCAGTTAAGTTGTCCAAAGTCACATAACTGGTAAGGAACAAAGCCAAAAAAGCGAATTCAACTCTGGCCCCAAAAGAGGCTGCATTTTTTCAATAATATCGTCTTGCGTGGTGTGTCTGGAAGCTTCTAGAAATCCTAGCTGCTTCCAAAGGAGGTGACATTTAGCTTAAACTGGAACTCCACGAGTAAAACATGAAGGGTGCACCGTCTAGGCACAAAGGCAGAGGGTAGGACAGGTGTGGAGGTAGGGAGAAGGGAGACGGGGATGTCACCATGTCACTGAATGAGCAGACTGGACAGTATAGCTCTGTCCTTGCTCCAGAGGTGGGTTTTCCCTGCCCTGGATGAAATCTTGGACACGCTCCATGGCTTTTCTAGTCACTTCAAGATAACAAATGAATAGTACCTTTATTTGGCGTTAAAAAAAAAAAAAAAATCAAGTCCACCCTACAAATCACCAGCCCCAGTCCAGGCCAGAGTGACATTAAAAACTCTGAATCTTATTCATTAGGGAGATGTAAATTGAAGCCACAATACAATAACTATTACATAACTATTAGAATAGGTTAAAAACCAAAACAAAACCCGAGGATACAAATACTGGTGAGGATGGGGAGCATTTATATTTTCTTATAAAGTTAAATATAGGGACTTCCCAGGCAGTCCAGTGGTTAAGACTCCACCTTTCAAATGCAGGGGTCATGGGTTCGATCCCCGGTCGGGGAACTAAGATCCCGCATGCTGCGTGGCCAAAAATAAAAATAAAGTTAAATATACAATTACTATACAACCCAATAATTCCACTTGGTATCTCCCGAGGAGAAATGAAAACATATATCCACACAAAAAGCCTGTGTAATGCATATAACAATTTCATTCATAATCACCAAAACCTGGAAACAACCCAAATGTCCATCATCTGGTGAATCAACAGATTGTGGTTCATCCATACAATGGGACTAGTACTCAGCAATAAAAAGAAACAAACTACTGGTACAGGTAGCAAGAATGTGGATGAATCTCAAACGCACTCTGTCCGGGGCTTCTCTGGTGGCGCAGTGGTTGAGAATCTATCTGTCTAATGCAGGGGACACGGGTTCGAGCCCTGGTCTGGGAAGATCCCACATGCCGCGGAGCAGCTAGGCCCGTGAGCCACAACTACTGAGCCTGTGCGTCTGGAGCCTGTGCGTCTGGAGCCTGTGCTCCGCAACAAGAGAGGCCGCCATGGTGAGAGGCCCATGCACTGCGATGAAGAGTGGCCCCCGCTTGCAGCAACTAGAGAAAGCCCTCGCACAGAAATGAAGACCCAACACAGCCAAAAATAAATAAATTTTAAAAAAAATTTTTAAAGTACGGGAGTCCATGTATTTAAAAAAAAAAAAGCGCTGTGTCAGACACAGAAGGCAACATACTGTGTCATATCATTTATATGATATTCTGGAAAAGGCAAAATATAGGGACAGAGAACAGATCAGTGGTTGCCGTGGGCTGGAGCAGGCTGAGGGGACTGACCGTTGAAAGGGTATGAGGAGACTTTTTGGAGTGATGAAAACATTCTATGGTTTGATTGTGGTGCTGGTTCCAAGACTGTATGTTTGTCAAATTCATATAACTATACACCTAAAAGGGATGAATTTTACTGCATGTAAATTACACTTCAATAAAAAATACAAACACCAAGAGCAGGTGCTAACCGGCCATTCCAAGGGGTTAATTGTGAACGCTTTGGTCTTGCCCATTGTTCCGAGCCATTCCTGTGGTTTGCAACCAGGAACTCCAGGTGGCACCGAGATATTATTGGTCACCCATGGACAAGTGGACAGATTAGCCAAATTGAGTTTAATCAAGGGGTGATTTAGGGAAAATTCCCTGGTGTCCAGTGGTTAGGACTCTGTGCTTCCACTGCAGGGGCATGGGTTCGATCCCTGGTCAGGGAACTGAGATCCCATATGTTGTGTGGCGCAGCCAATAAATAAATAAATAAATAATTTTCAAGGGTGTCCCTCGAGAAAGAGGAGGAAGCTACATGGCCATTTGGTACCCAGCCTGGGAATAATACATATAGTCACTTCTACCATACTCTATTGGTAAAGCAATCACAAGCCCTCCAGATTCAAGGGGAGGGGACCCACCTCCCCATGGAAGACGTGTCAAAGAAGTTGGTGCCATGTTTGAAACTGCCACATTGTGGGCAATTCTATCCTCCACACTTCCTCCTCCCAAGCCCAATCCATCTCTCTCCTAACGTTTGTCTTTAAGTCTTCTCATCTCAGTAAATGGCATCTCCCACATTCTCAAACAAGAAATCCAGTGTCAGCCTGATGCTTCCCCTCTTGTCAATCCCTCCTCCAGTCCATCACCAAGACCCGATGATGTCATCCCCCAGACGTATATATCTCAAGTTCTACCTCCCTCATCTCTGATGCCCTCACCTTTGCCAGGGCCCCCACCATCTCCTGTCTACCACAACCACCACTCCTGCCTCCCCTAATCTATTCTCTGCAGAACGGCCTGAGGAATTGTAAACTGCAGCTCACAACGCTCCCCCACTGAAAACACCTTGGAGCCCATGGCTAGGGTCAATTCTCTCTGGGTCCCACTGTGACCTCCAAAGCCCTGCATGATCTGGGCCCTGCTCCCCCTCCCCCAAGCCCCCAGGTTCCGCTCACACTGGTCTTCCTTTATTTCCTCAGACCCTCTAAGCTCTTTCTTCCCGGGATCTCTGTACAAGTTGTGCCTTCTGACTGAGACATCACTCCTCCCTCTCTTCACGCGGCTGTCCCCTTCTCATGCTTTAGGGTCCTATCTTAA